TAATTATTACCATTTTAAGTACACTTGAACTTATAATTAGGTCAAATAGCATGTATGTAAATTCATAACTTAAGCATATAAGCACCATAGGTATATAAGCAATTAATCTTTATCAAAAAAACTAAGACAAAACCAAATTATTGTTATCATATCCAACAGTTTAATCATATGACCATCAAAATATTTAAATTATATTCCAAAAACAATTAAACGTACGCCTAAAATATAAAAATTAAAGAAAAAAAATTTACACAATTACTCAAATAACATGATGATAAACTAAAAAAGTAATTGACGAAAAAAAAAAATGCTTATAATTGCCAGCTACATTTAACGCAATGCATTCCAAAATCATATTATGTCAAACAGCGTTTTTGAACAATTAAACAAAAATTGAAAAGTTATATTATATGCGATATTAAATTGTTTACTGAACCCTAAGATATTTATAAAATATATTTTTAATCTTTTATTATTTTTTTTTTACTTTTTAGAGTTCAATACCTTAAAGGATGATGATAAAAATTGTTCAGGTTACGGAGATTTTATAAGGAAAATATAACAAGTATCGAAAAATCAAGTAATTTGGCCTTTGTGAAGTTAAATATTTGGGTTGCCTTTCCGAAGATTTCGAGGAGCTACATAAGTACTGCAAATTGTTTCAAAAGTGGTCAGCGAATATCATGATGTGGTGTTCTGTCAAGAAAATTACGGAAATTCGCTATATAAGCAATCCGTTTAAGTGAGGCAATAAACCAAATCACGGAAAAGCGTCTAGAAACAGGTCAGTGTCTTTTGTACAGGTTTTAAAAATTTAATTACCAGATTTTGGGAAACCACTCTTAAACCTATGAGGTTTATAGTTGCAAAAAAAAAAACAGGAATGGTCAAATTTCGGTTATATATTTTCTTTCTGCCAAAAATTAACAACCGACGGCTTAAATATTGGTAAACTAATAATAATTTGATTTTGCAAATCCATTATACCAGCATTTCTTTTTATATTTTGTATAGCATAATTATTATATGGTCATTCGGTTATTGTAGATGTTTTTGACTTTCTATTACACACTTGCTTAATAATTTGTAATTGTTTTTCTTTTTCTTCTTTTTTCTTGAGTATTTTGATGAATTTTTAAGACTATTATAACCTCTTTTTCATTATTATATTACCTATTTTATCAGTATATATTTTGCACTTTCCAAAACTATTCAAAAATAAATAATTGCTTCATAAACACCTTATGAAAAAGTATAGATGCACATAATATTTCAGATGCGTAAATGTATATTCATTTTAAATAATTTGAAATCTTTAAATAATTTTTAGTAAAAAAATTTTTGTAACCAATCACTTATTTATTTTTTCATATTGAATTTTTATCTTTATTGAAAATCTTTGTAAGACAGACATCACATCATCATCTACTCTCATGATTATGTAGTAAAAGGAATTTGTAAATTTACTGTATAATATTATTTTGATGTTCTATTACATGTTCGAAATATAATTTCATGGTCACGGTTGAATTTATTTACGAAAGAGGCAAGTAAAACCACACACATTGATTGATTTTTTTTATTGTTCTTTTTATGTGAAATTTACCTCATAATTATGTGAATTGTTTATTTAAACAGTATAGTTTTAGGTAATATTAATCGTATTTTGACTGCATTCTACTCCAGTCTTAATAACGATCCAAGATTTCCTTCTCGCCTCAAAATAATGCATTGTTAATCTCCTATAGTTTCAATTTTTGCTGGTTCACTCTGTGAGCATTGTTATTTGGTTCTTGTTTCTTTTAATGATTGTCTTAAATCGCTTCTGAACACAATTTCCTAGAATATGTTAAAAGCTATCTGTTGAAGCCTACAACAGTTTCTCTACAACTTATCCACTTTTCTTAACTTTCATAATTAAAGACACATAGATAAGTGTATTATAGACAATCTTAAATTATTAATGCACGTATAATGATGAATTTGTAAGATATCAAAGTGAAAAATTAATTTTATCTTAATTTTACTGTTTCATTTAAACTTCATTAAATATATTTAATCCTAAATAAGCATATAGTCGGCGCTATGTAATTATGCTGAATAAATTACCTTAATTCAATGTAGAAATTAAAACAACTTTTTTAAAAAATTACGTAATAATTTTGAATTGCAGTCAACACAGTAATTTTAGTACCGTTAAACTTTGATTTAGTAGATAATCACCTCCTTTCCACCAGTAATCTTTTCTTCTGAGCTTCAATAATATTATATTGTCTTAAATGGTATGAACGCGTCATTCACAAAAAGCTTATAGATATAATCGTTGTTGAAATTAAATTAAATTTAATTAAAATCTATTTTGTATGATATTTTTTAATAAAATGTTATAAATTCATTATTAAATAAATATTCCGACTATGAAGATGGTAATCTTTAAGTTAATATTGAATTTTTATTTGTATAATAATGTTTTGTACTTTTTAGATGAGATCTTTATTACTTACCTACCAATACTTTATTTAATGAAGTGCATATGATGTAGTAATGAGAATTATAATTTTTATGATTATTAAGATAAGTTATAGAATGTTAAGGCATTAATGAATCCACTAAGTAATTTTATTAATTTATTAATAAGTGATTATGAATTAAATATTTTAGAGATGTATTAACATCTTAATACATAATTTGCTAAATTTGAATAAAATGATTGCATTAAAAGAAAATTATAAATATGTATAAGTTTTTATAACAAGTTCTCCGATACACAACAAGGAAGATAAAATTATGAGGTCATATTATATTCATGTAAATATTGTAAATGTAAATTTTGCTATATTGAATATTTGATATTAAATTTACGACACTTGAGAGAATATATACTTTCATATTGAATTATTTTTTGTTGCAGTTCTGGGAATCGAAATCTTTTCTATTCTCAGTTTGAAATATATTCAAATTTTCGTGATATTTATTAAATTTCTCTAAAATTTTTTGCTTTCTGACTAAAACAATCATTTGTAAACATTTTTATCAACGGTGAAGATATATAACAAATTGTTGAAATCTGATTATTTTCACCACATTAAGGTTAGGAATTTTATCATTCGATATATTTTCATTTGAAACATTGCATATGTTTAGGCGAAGTTATTAGTATGAAAATTTTTTACCAATTATTTTCACCTTTTATCAAAGATCCTAATCTGAAATTATAAAGTTTAGTTTTTGTTTCAATAACGCAACACTTGGAATTTTGAAATCTGTTTCTATTTTTCGATATTTTTAAAAATTATTTTAATTTTTTTAATAACAATTTTTTCACTTTATTCATAGGGTTAATGTGATTTTAATTATGTTTCTTAGCAGTTTTTGGTGTTTTTTTAGATTTAGAAACAAATTAGATAAATATTTTGCATAAATATATTAAATATATATACATATATATGTATATAAACTTAAAAAGACGACCAATACTATAAAATTTTCAAATTCCAGCACAATACACATAACATATGAAATCAATATGAAAATGAAGATTTAGTCAAAAAGGGATGACCGGGCAAAAGCACAACCCGCTTTTAAGAAGTTTGAATGGAATGCAGACGAAGTTTTCTAACTTATTAAATGATATTTCAAATAACCTGGAAATCTATAACTTTATGTTCTTTTAAGTATTTGTAAAACAATTCAATATTCCACAATTGTAAAACAATTCAACTTCCTGATAAGGTATGACTTTGAGATAACGTAAATTTGTTTCGTGTTAAAAAAATTTGCTAAATTTGTAAGAAGTACAATTAAGCCAAAATTTAAAATCACGGAATTTATGAATTTATCTATTAGTTCACTTATCATTTCTTAACAAACTTTTGTTAATCTAATTTCATGAAATGCGTTCGTTTGAACCTAATAAAATGCAATTTTATCAAATTTTTACTATTGAAATCATAAGATTTTATTGCTATTTTCGCCGGTTAAAGTAAATTTTTTTTAAAATTTAAACAACATTTGCTTACTATCTAATCAATCTTGTAAGTCAACGATTTTCTAAGTACATAATACGATTTTTTTTTATTCTAAGTACATATAGTTTAAGAAAAAAGGCTATAAGCTAGCGCATAGATACTTAACTTAGTGAATATTATTAACTATTAGAGTACTAGAGAGAAATGTTAGATCTTGCAAGTAATATGGTTAGACAAATTTATAAAAAAAAAACAATATATATTTAAATTATTTATGTGATCATTAACTTGTATCTCATTAGTTCTTCATTTATAAAATAATTTGTTTTATACAATGAACTCCTACGCATTTCTTATATTTAATATATGAATTTGTATAGAGCAAACAAAATTCATAAACTTTTGTTTTTACTTTAAAAAAAAGTTATTTTTGTCATTCATTAATATTTTCTATAAATTTTGTTATAAATTGTTTGGATACTTGAAAATTTGCATAGTTTAAATTTATTCAATTTAGATAATTTTGCTAATTTGATGTTACATTATTCAAAAAATTTATTAAAATTGGTATAAAAATTTTTGAATATGGAATTAAGTCACTTATAAAATTTTTGAAATCAATCACTGTCATAAAAATTATAAAATCAAAATCTGTCCTAGGCATTGCCGACCTTTTATCTGCATACATATTATCTAGGCAATAATATTGGTAAAATTTAGATTTAAATATTTGACATAGGTATCCTTTGAATTTTTGCCTATTAATGTTATTGAAGCATTTGTTATCAATTTAAAAGTCTTTTTACAATGTAGGAGAAATTCAAATAATACAACAATTGTTTTTTCAGTTTTTAAATAATTTTTTTTTTTTGTATTTTTTTTTCAAATTTTCTTAACCTAAGAACTAAATTTCTATTGGCAGTATATGATTACAATTGAATGTAATCACTAAATAAAACTAGTAATCACATTCTTTTGACTTCTTTTTTGCTGGAAATTTCGTTGCTTATTATTTTTCCTGTATTTTAGCAACCCAATATTAAGTTTTTTTTTTGTCTTATTTTTGTTTCAATATTTTTTTTTGGTTCAAAACTATAATATAATTTAGAAATTTAGTAATATCTTAGGCGGCAACTGGGATATGTGCACCGGTTGGTTGGAAACCATTTTCGTCAGCAACATAGCTTACTGAATAAGTTTGACCATCATCACCAACGTATGAGAATGAACCTTGTACGGCAATACCTTCTTGTTCAGTTCCAACATTTTTCAATTGACCAGATTCATCATGTTTTTTTCCGTCACTTGTTTCAACACTATGCACGATAAATAGAAAATTTAATAATCGGTCAGGATTTTTTTTTGAAAATAATTTTATACATACCCAAATTTATATCCTTCAACACCAATATTATCATTGTCATAACGAACAATTTCAACATCAGCTGGAGCAGCAATAGCAACAGCGAAGAGAGCAGCCAAAACAATAACGAATTTCATTTTGATTTTATTTTTTCAAGTTTTTTTTGCAAGTTGTTATCACAATGAGTATTGAGGTTGTTGTGCAAATAATAATCAAAGAGCCACCAAATTTATACCAATTGACCAAAATTAATATTTAAATTTGCATATTTTTTAAAATAAAGTTACTATGTAGCTAACATATACCAAAAATTTTGAGTTTGAACATATTTTATTTTGGAGAAAAACATAAAAAAAAAAGAAAAACTAAAAAAAAAATTAATAATGTAAAAGAAAAATAAAACGAGATTTTTATGGAAATTTCACTTCTACAATATTATATTTTTTTTTTACCCCATATTAACAGGAACAAATTTTTAATAATTCTAGCTTGTTTTCTATATACTTTTATTATTTTAGAAAAATATTAAAAATTGCTAATATTATGTTAAAAAATTTACGGTACCTGTTGACAGGTGATTGCAAAAATATATAAATAGCAAGAAAAATAAAATTTATATTCTATTTCTATATATGTATGTTTGTAAGCATGAATCCAATTGATATAAAACCGGTATAACAGTTTTTAGCATATACAAATAATTTATTTAAATCCTATATAATGTGTATAAGTATATTTGTATTAAATATATATATTTTTTTAAGTTAGCACTAAGTATGATAAAATACCATGTTTTGCCAGTTTATCGAGCTAAATTTTGAGAGTTAATAAATGGATGGGCTTACTGGTATTTTCTTGATATATTTTGAGAACAGTTTTAAATTTTTTTGTAGCTAAATTTTTTGATATTACCATCCTTATTTCATTAGTCAAAACTATTATTTAGTAAATAAATGAAAGTGCAATATTTAATTTTAAAATTTAAACCAAAATTAAAAGATAAAAATGCTTTAGTTTTTTAATTATTAGAATTTTGCACATATCTAAAATATATAAAATATTATAAAAACATATTCAAGGTCACCTACATATTATTTTCATATTTATTAGTCTCATATATATTAATATACACATATGTACAACAACAAAATAAAAATATACGTATTTGGTTATAATATGACGGCACAATTTTTTTTTTTATTAATTTTCGGTAATTTACAATGGTAAATATGCACAGTAACGTTAGATATACACATAAGGTTCATAATATACTAAATGCATATTTTAATTGACAAAAAAATTTTTTTTTTGTTTTTCTTTATGATTTTCAAAATGATATTAAAATTTGGCTTGATATTTGATTTTAAATTTTTCTGTTTGTACTTTAGGGTGTAGTAATTTTACAGTTTTTTTTACATATTTGGTATTTCTGTGGTCTTAAGAAAACCAATATTATTTTGAAAGTTGTGCAAGTTTCAATATTGCTGAATTAAAGTTGTAATATTGCTTTGCAACAATGCTGAAATTTCATTCAAGCAAGTCGAGAACAGCATTTCTACTTTCGTAATTTTTCGTTAGAACTGCAGCTTATAAATGTAAAATATTTTTACAGAGTCTTTTACAACATAATTTTTTATAAATCTAAATTATTTAATTTCAATAATTTAAAAGTACTTTTTACAATTTAGAACTTTAAATAACTAAATGTCATTTCATTTCTGTTTAAGTATTGGTGTTTTCAATTTAGCAATTTTACGCTTCGTAAATTTCTCACTACTTACAAAATTTTGCCTTTAATTCTGAAATATGAAAATTTCTGTAATATACAAATATTTAATTTTAGAGTCATTTAATTTACTTACATTATTTTCATCCAATTTTCCTTATTTCAATTCATTTTTGTGAAATTGTGTATAAAATACTAAGTTGGTAATTAAAAAAATCTAATATTTAAATTACAAATTTTGGTTTAATTTTTTTTTTTAAATATTTTTATTTTAAATCTTAACCTGTAAGGATTTTTTATACATTCTTATATTGGCAGTGAAATTTTTTTACAATTTTCGACAAAAATTACTAACTAAAACTAACAATCACATATAAATTTTTTTGTTTTTTTAGCCTTTCGGTGAATTAGTTAGAATATATACAGATTCCTTATATTGTTAACTTATGGAGCAACTGGAATATGTGCACCTTGTGGTTGGAAACCATTTTCATCGGCAACATAACTAACTGAATAAGTTTGACCATCATCACCAACATATGAGAATGAACCTTGTACGGCAATACCTTCTTGTTCACTTCCAACATTTTTCAATTGACCAGATTCATCATGTTTTTTTCCGTCACTGGTTTCAACACTAAGTAAAAAAAAAAAGAAATATTAGTTATTGTATTTACATATAATGTATATGACCATTTTAGGAATTAAATGGAAATTATGATAGCAATTAAATAATCCAAATTACCCAAATTTGTAACCATCAACACCAATATTATCATTGTCATAACGAACAACTGTAGCATCTTTTGGATCACCTCCAGCAGCTAATGCAACAGCCAAGAGAGCAGATAAAACAATGACGAATTTCATTTTTAATATTTTTGTTTTTTAATGTTCTTTTATTTATTGAAAAAAAGTTGTTATCACAATGACAATTGAGGTTGTTGTGTAATTAATAATTGAAAAACGCTCAAATTTATACCAATTGACCAACATTTCAATTTAATTAACATAATTTTAGAGTTAGAAATAATACATTTTGAGTAAATTTTTTTGATATAAACGAGATTTTTATGGAAATATGTGCTCCTATTGCACTCATCAACATTTTTCTTTAAATGTATCTGTTTTGTATTTTTTATTATTTTTCTATTATATTATTTTTTTGGTGACAGAAATTTATTTTATTACTTTGCTCAATTTTTTACGGTATCCATCGATAAATAGAATTGCAAAAAAAATATAGCTAATAAAATGAAAAAGAAAACAATAAAAAAAATAATTTTTGCAACTTTTTTTTTGATTTTCAAACTAGTACAACAGTTTCTGACATATTATTGTGCGTTCTTTATAACAAAATTGTTTAGCCGGCTTTTAATAATTGTACCGGGTTATGCCGGTTTTGCTAGTCTTTTGAAAATATGAAATATGCTAAATGTTTTAATTTAAAAAAAAAATGAAATCAAAACTTGATTAGCAAATAAATTTTTCTATTTGTTTTTTTATTTTTCTTTTTGATTTTATTTAATTAATTTAATTTAAATCTAATAAACAGGTTAAGTATTTTTTTTATAATGGACAAGGATATAAAAGGGAAATCTTATTGTATTAAAGTGAATACAAAATGTAAAGTTGGTGTCATTTAAATGAATTTGATTTCTTTTGTTTTTATTGAAATTATATAAAACAGGTGTTAATTAGTACTTAAAGGTAGACAACTTAATTTCAAGATTTATATACATTAAAATTTATTGAGAAAGTTAAGATTTTTTTTTTAAATATAAGCACATAATTTAAATTAACACTGGTCTAAAAATACTACCGGCTTTAAACTTAGTTAATTTTACAAATATTGAATTTGCAATAGAAGTCATCGATTCATAAAAATAAAAAAAAGCTTATACTTTATATATTGTTCCAAAATAATTACGCATGCATAGAATTACATACCTAAACTTAATATAAGTATACTATAAGAATTATGCTTTCTAAATGTATGTTGATGTGAATTCTAGATAGAATTAGGTTCAATTTCGATTAAGAAAAAATAGAGTGCCCCAGTTATAACTAAGTTCTGATAGGTTGAAAATACGGTTGGTTACGACAATTTGCATTCGATGTGAACGAATGAAGCCCTATAACATTTTTACAATCTTCTATTTTGTTATTTATAAAACTTCATAGTTATCAGTTTATTAAGTTTAAAGATTATTTATCGGATATAATTTTTTTTCGTAGAAATCATAACATATTAAAACGGTTATAATAATATTCGAAAAATATTATTGGTACAGTTTTAATATGAATTTTTATTAACAAAAGAAAGAAAATGATTAAAAAATAGAAAATAATTTTATTAAGATTTTTAAACTAATTCGTTTATATTTACATATTTTTGTATAATTTTACTTATAAATGCATACCAAAATTAGAGAAGACCTCAAAACACAAATAAATTTTTGCACAAAATATTAATAATATTATTTTTATATACATATATAAAATTAATGTAATTATAAATGCATAATATACAATTCCACTTCTTTCAAAATAATATATTTTCTCAATTTTGCAAAATATATGAATTGAATTAATATTTTACATGATTTCTTTTCAAAGTATAAAAACGTAAAATTTTATTGTTAAAATATTCATAACAGTACCACTCTTCTTTGTGATAACAACCTAATATAATAATTTTAACTACAAAATGAAATTCGTAATTATTTTATCAGTAATCTTTGCCGTTGCTTTAGCTATTCCAGCTGATGTTGAAATCGTACGTTATGATAACGATAATATCGGTACAGATGGATATAAATTTTAGTAAGGAATTTCAAAATTATTAAATTAAATTAAAAATATTTTAATATTTATCTTATCTTTGTAGTGTTGAAACTAGTGATGGCAAAAAACATGATGAATCCGGTCAATTGAAAAATATTGGAACTGAACAAGAAGGTATTGCTGTTCAAGGTTCATTCTCATATATAGGTGATGATGGTCAACCTTATACAATAAATTATGTTGCTGATGAAAATGGTTTTCAACCACAAGGTGCACATATTCCAGTAGCACCTTAAATAATGAATATTTTAATTTAAAAATTAATATTTAATTGTCTTATAAAAAATTTGAGACGAAATTTCAGGCAACGAAATGAGATTACTAGTCATTTTATGACAAACATAATATAAAAAGAAAGAAATTATAGGGCTGAATAGTATATAAGGAATGTACATACATATATTTACAAAATAAATTATCCTTTTTTTTTTTATAAATTTAATTGAGTATTTTTTATATTTATTAAGCTAAAATTGTTTTAATATATCAATTTAAAAATTGTTTAATACTTCAAATGTGATTGAAATTTTCATGTTATTTAACCATTTAATTTCGATCAGCATAAGAGTATTCCGCCTAATAAAAAACAGTTTTTGATATATAGCATTAAATTCTGTAAATTAAAAAGAGGATCTGAAATAAATTTGTCGAAAATGATTGGGTTTTGTAATATAATTTCATGTGATTTTAGAATATCAAACTTAATGATTTTTGTTTCTAAACAAATTGTGATTTAGAAGTAAAATCACAATATTTGAGATATTTTAAAAAGTTAGAGAATTTAATTATAAATATAACATTCTCACAACAAATTGATGTCTTTTAAAAATAGTAAAAAAATTTAAAATTGAAATTAAAGAAAATATATTTTAATACAAATATTTTTAGCTTAATATTTTAAATTGTATCACGTTTCGTACAATTTTCACCTGAATCCATTTCTGTTTCTTTTTAAAATCAAAGATTATCAGATAACAAGTAATAAAGAAAATTAAATCATAATCTAAAATTAAATATTTTTTTTAATCTTTCTTAAATCATAAAAAATTGAACGCACATAAAAGATTTTTAAAATAAGAGTTTTATTAATTTCTAATTAATATATTTTGAAAATTTTATAAATTATTATTATAGCGCCTTCTTGTTCTTTTAAAACTTGTTACTTAAATTATATTAAAAATTCAAGTATTCCAATTAATAAATTATTAGGTGAACGTGATTAGTTGTCATTCTTGTTGTAGTTTTGAATTATCGTCATCAATAATTTTACAAAAGTATTGTTTTAATTAAAAAAACACTAAATAAAATACATAAAACTAAATTATCTTGTATTATAAGTTTTTGGAAAATGAAATTTTTTATGATTTTATCAATCACAAATCATTTATATTTTATTGTGATAAATAATTAATATTTTATAAATTTTATATTATTAATAAATATTTAATAATTATAATATATTGTAATTAAATAACACAAAAAAAAATTAATTTAAATTTTCTTCTCTATTTTATCTTCAACGTTTATGAATTTTAAATAAGAGAGGAAGATTTTAAATTTATGACCAAGGTTATGTTGGGATTTTTTTTGTTTGTTTTTATTTCTAAAGACTGAAGTTAAAAAAAACTAGATTTTTGATCAAATTTTTATTAATTTTAACATTATTTATAAAAATTTGTAGAAACTGTAAATCGAAATCATATTTAAATTGGAATTTGTTAAAAAAAATAAAAGTTAAAATTTCAAGTAAATTAATTTTTAACTATGATAAATATATTTAAAATTATTAGGTTCTCATTATATTGTAGAGTTATTTTTTCCTTCTTCACTCCTAGTAGGAACATAGGGCTAGTGCATGATATCATGCCTAGTTTCATCGCGTCATAGAGTTAACTATGTCTAGCCTGTCGTAGTTTTGTATTTTAAATTTGTAATATGCAGCTAAACGGGAATAATTATATAATATTAAGCAAATTAAATACATTATGTATTTTTTAACAGTCAACAAGAATACAAAATTAGCCGGTACGTTAATATTTTTTGTGAAAATATTTGTTTCTTGTTAATTATTATTAAGCAAAATTAAAATTTAAAAGGCTAATCTAATTTTAATTAAATTTCAATAAATGAATGTAATAATTTATACAAAGTATTCATGACATGATTGCATTCAATAGTAACTTTTAACGTAATGTATTGTCCCTACATAAAATTAGCCTGAAAATCTGCAAAATTTGTAAAATTATTTTCTATCTTTATTCTTATCTTTATTCTTATTCTTTAAATTATTTTCTATCTTATGTGGTTTTTTCCTTTTTTTTATTTATATTTAACTTAAAACAACTTTTATAACATATTTTTGATTTAAATTGAAATATATATATGGGTTCTAAATAGATTAAAATAAAATTGTTAAATTTTTACGCATAATTTAATTATTTTATAAAAAACTAAAGAAATATAAAATAAAAAATATATTGCATAATAGTTTGTTATACCTATACAACTATATTTTTACTCAAATACTATAAAAAATTTTTTTTTTTAGTATTCCTAATGAATTTAGAATGAATAAATTAAAATTAAATTCGTTTTTTGTTTTTTTATGATGTTTGTTTAAGACTTTTTAAAAGCTATTCCTTTCATTAATGAAATTTTGACGTTTTTTTTTTTTTTTTTTTTGAATATTATTAGATTATTAACTTGAAAACGGTTTCTAGTTTAAAAATTTATATAATCAATGACGTAAAATATTTAAATTCTATACAATAAGATTTTAAAAATAAAAAATCTATTGTTAAATTTTCGGATTACTAGGTCCTCAGATTTAATATACATATACATGTTCTATTTTTAGTTCTAAGATTTAAAAAAAATATTAAAAAATTAAGAGCATAACTGAGTCTGTTTGACCGCAAAAAAAATATTTTTATGTATAGTAAAAATAAATATTGCATATTATTTGAAAAATCGGTTCGGTTACAACGTCCATAGACCGTTTACAACTTAATTGCAATTTTGTAATTAATATTTAAGAAAATTAAATATAAACTTTATTTTAAATAATTTCAATAATGAAAATAATAACCTATATTTCTTGTATTTGTGTCTCAAAGTTATAAATTTCAAAAGATGCTTTCCTGATTTCGTATATTACATAAGTAATTTTAAAGTTCCAATTATAAAATTCTAAATTATCAAATTTCAAATAATATTTTCGTATTTTCATGTTGTTTGTATAATTTAATTATTATAACAAAAATTTTTATTAAGTCTCAAATTCAATTTTATTTTAGCACCTAGCATTTTAACTATCATAAAAATTTATGAATTTCTAAATCCATAAAATAAATATATTTGTTTTTAATTATTTAAAAACTTGAAATTATATTATAAAAATAGTATATCAAGTTCTTGAAATCATAATTATTTAAATTGTTACTTTATTTAAATTATATAATTTTTTGTTATATCAATAATAATTACACATTTTATACATTTTAAAAGGTTAAATAAAAATTATCTACCCTAAATCTTTAAAAACATTAAATCACTCCAAATAACATGGCACGTGTAATTTGAATATTTTTTTTTCTCATAGATTTTATGTGCATAATATATTATTAAAATCTAGTTTTACATTTAATTTTTAATAAAGAAATGAGAAAAAAAAACATATACATAACTGGAAGATTAAAAATTTATGAATTATGTTAAAATAGTTTTAATAAAATAATAATGTTTTGTGTATAATATAAACCAGTAGCATAATCAATTGTAATACATTTATAATTGTGAAGTAAAGCATAATCAATTAAATTAATTTTGCTTCTATTTTACTAATAAAATTGTAAACTTTAAAATAAAGTCTTATATTAACCAATTTATTAATATATTTATAAGTTTAATTATTGGAAAACTAGCAAATTATAAATATATGATTTAATAATTTTTAATACTTATAATTAAATTTTTCAAATTGTACAATGGCAATATTTTTATTATATTTAACTCTATGGGACATTTTAAAATTTTTTTAGCTTAATCATCCCATTTTGAATTACAATACAATTTATGTTGCAATTTTTTTTTAATTAATTATTTTCGTTTAGTCTTATTTAGTTCTACAAGTTTTCTTAATTTTTTTTGTTTTGTTAAATTTATAATTCACAAGTTATTTAAAATTTTTAATATTTTTAATTAACCTGCCAAACTACTTCTTTTATTTCCTCTTTCTTTCTGATGTACAAAAAAAGGATAACCGAACAATAGATAACTGTATTTTTAAAATTGATTATGTTTTTAAAAATATTTAATCTCTAATTTGAATTTGAATTGATAATTTTGCAATATTTATTTGATAATAAATTTAAATATTCAATAATTTCTGCGTGTAATTTATTTATAGGGTTAATATAAAATATATTAAGATTATTAATAAAAACAGTTTCATAAAATTAAATAGAATTGTAAAAATTGTTATAAATTTAAGATAAGACAATCATAAACATTTATTACCTATAAATCAATTGTGAATTAAACTTGTATTAAATGTTATACTTGAAAACAAGATTAAGATTATTACTTTCTTCTAGATCAAGATAATAAAGCATTAAAAAATCACATAACACATATCACCCTGTATATTAAAATATAAAAAAGAAAAATATAATATTATAATGAATTAATTAACGGAATTTTAAAGTTCCTGATTGCTGAAAACTGTTCTGGTTTCCATAATTCCTTTCTAATATTCTAATTTGCAGAAAAAAAATAGAAAAGAAAAGAATATAAATAAGTGAAAGTATAAAACGGAAATTAAATAATACTAAAAAAAAAAATAAAAAATATATGCACCGTTAGTATAAGGAGATCGAAAAATATTTCTCGGTTTCTTGTTTTTCAATTGAAATTCAAGTTTCAAGTTATTGTTACCCATCATTAAACTAATTGGCGCCATTGAGACACACAAGAATTTTGTATTTTTAAATTTTTTAAATTGGTTTTTAAAATTTATTTTTGTTTCCATTTTTTTTTTTTTGCTTTATTATAAAACAAATATGTTTTACTATAACCATTCGGTATTTTTTTTGTAGTTATTTTTTTGATTAAATTTAAAAGGATCAAGAAAAAATCTTAAACTTGTTTTTTTTTTTAAAGAAAAAAAAATTATAATAGTAATTAAGTTTGGACTATCATTCAATTTTATTTTAATTTTGTTTTTTGATTTTAATTTTTTTTTATATGTTCTTAAATTAAAAAAATTGGGAGAGTCGCAATTAACTTAAAAAAAAAGAAAAAAATAGATATAAAAATATTCTACTTTATCTTGTACTAGATCAAAAACTTGTTTTTAAAACTTGCCAAATAAAAAATGATTTGTTTTCATTTTAATGAAGATATTTGAACAAAATAAAATTATGTTTGATAAATTAATTTAGTTTATATTAAATCAATTATCAGATTAAAAAGGATTTCTGTTTTTTTTTGTGCTAGAGCATTTATAATTTTTCTCAGTGTTCAAATGCTGATTTAGTAAACTCCTAAAATTTCATAATATCATTTGAAAGAAAACTTGATAGAGTCCAATATAGTCCCATCATATTCATTTCAATTTAAGTTTTTTATGTTAAAACCGTAAAATATGTGAATTCGCTTCTCTATCATATGTTATTATTGCTAATTATTGGCTAAAAAACATTTTGCTTATTAATTTTTTTAATAACTTTTTAAATGCAATGTTAAAGATTTTTATAACTAAAAATTCATTTAATTGAAATATTTAATGGAAAAGTTTAATAAAATTTTTGATTTGCAATTCTATATATAATAAAATTATGTATGTATTTCTAATTAATCAAGGTTACTATATAACATATTTAAATTTTTTTTTGTAAAATTTTCACTTTAAAAATCACACGTCGTCTTCTTGAAAAAAAAAATTATTGTTAAGTATAGAGTATAAAAATTAGAAATTGACAAGTCATAATTAATTATATATTTTTTAAGTTTTTTTTTTTTTTTGTGGGTTTGGTAAAAACCATATTCATTCATAATAGTTGCATATGCTCATTAATTTCAGTTAATGAAAGAAAATGAAATTTTGTTGACAAGCTTAAAAATGATTTTTGTATAAGAAATTCAAAGAAATAAGTAGTAGCTATTAAATTTAAACAAAAAAATATAAAACGTGCATTTGTAATATCCATTTCCATTCATAATAATGAATCAGTTTTTATTAAAATATTGTCAATAAACTTTATTTTTTTTTAAATTCTTAAAACTTTCACAATTGAAACTTCTTGTTTCAGTAAAATCTTTCTTTTTGAAACTTTTTGAGATAAATTTTATCTTTACGTTTTCCTTACTTACGCTTCCGATGTAGTTTAATATAGTTTTGCACTTATATTTCTTTTATATTATTTTACACAATCATACTAGCTGAAATAATTGTGCTTCTATCGAACTATAATGTATCGTTTTGATAGATTGAATCAAGTTTCGGATTTCGATTTTTAAAGAACTGCAAGTAAGGTACATTTTTTTTTAATTTATTACCGTTATGCAAGTATTATTACAATAAAAATACGAATATTAGTTATGCTCCCCAAGCTCTTTTCTATTTCTCTTTAGAATTTTGAGCATTTCTTGTCGGTTTTTTGAATAATTATTCCAAATTAATATTATAAATATGCGTATGATATCAAACGTTTATGATATTTTAATTTCTAACCGTAAATATAAATTATTAATTTCCTCTTCCAACCCATAAAAATTAATTTCAAAGAATTTAAGTGCAAAGTTAAAAAACAAAAATTTGCATAAAAATTTATTTATTTTTTTCAAAAAATAATACGAAACGCATTTTATATTTAATTTTCATAATAACACATATAAAAAATATTAAAAATAATAATCATCTTAATTTGAAATAAAAAACAAAATTTTAATAAAAACAAATTACAAGGTCATAAAACCTTAACCTTGATAGAAAAAAATTTTGCAAAAAAAAAAAAAAATTAATATTAGCGGCAAAAAAGGCCTATACATTCATTATTGTAATATGCAATTGATTTTAATAACCTAGAAAATAAAAAATGGGTTTCGATTATAAACGAGAAAAAAAAAACAAAATTTATTAATTAGTTGAATTTAATTAATTTTTGTAGGAAGACAACCTTTACAAATATATGTGTGTAACATGAAACCCACTTATGAAAAAGATTATTGTATTTTCGTAATATGGAAATTAAATTTATAGTTGGAATTGATTACTATCGGGGTGAATTTTTGCAATTTTTGTAAAAAATGTAGAATAGATTAAAAAAAAAAATGTAGAATAGCATTATGCAAAGTAAGAATCAAAATTTTGAAGGATTAAATTTTTTCGAATTTTTTTCCTTTATGTAAAGTTTTATATAAAACATAATTTCTGGAAATAGTTTTTCAATTTAGTTACTTGAATATGAAAATTTAAGTTGTTATAGAATTTTTTATTGAAATTACAAAGCTGATTGATTTTACGCATCTTTAATGGATTAATTGCCTACTTTTAAATTTCGATTAATCTGTTCAAGAGGTAGACATGAAAGCAAACTTGAGTATTGTTTAAATAGAAGCTGTAATAAATTTACGCTACATGGTAAGATCTAGAATTTGTAAATTAAAAAACTCTTTCTTATTCATCACTGGCAAATCTCTATAAATTTTCAATTATTTTATGTTTAAGGAAGCAAATTTTTTTATTAAAGATAAATTCAATTAAAAGTCAGGGAATTTTTCCTAAAGTAATTTTTAAATAAAATTAAAAAAACAATTTTTTTTTTTATATTATTTTTTTTTCTTTCAATATTAAATATGTATATACAATGTATATTTTATTTAACGGCATTTCCAAGATGTTCTTTTCTTTTTAGACACTTTTATAAATTTATAAATTATATAAGAAAATAATGAAAAAAAAAAAGTACTAATTTATTTACTTGTGCTTATAATTTAAAAATTCAGGAATAATAATTATAATAATAAAAAAAACACATTTTAGTTTAACTTCAATATTTACATTTCTATTTACAAAAATTTGGTCTTTTTCATATTGTTCATATTGTTTTAGATTAAGCTACTGGTAAATGAGCACCGGTTGGTTGGAAACCATTTTCATCAGCAACATAGTTAACAGAGTATGTTTGACCATCATCACCTACATATGAGAATGAACCTTGTACAGCAATACCTTCATTTTCGCTACCGGCATTCTTTAATTGACCAGATTCGTCATGTTTTTGTCCATTGCTTTGTTCATATCTACATTTATATGAGAGAAAATTTTTTGATAGAATATTTTAGTTTCATACATTTATAATTTTTCAACCATAGAATTAAAACGAAATACAATAAAATTTAATTAAATTTAAATTAAAACATTCCGATATGTAATTACGATTTCATTTTTTTTTTTTTTCAGATATCTACTGAATGATTTAATTTAATCCCGAATTTGGTAAAATCACAAGTTATATTTTTAGTAAATAATATTTAATCCATATAATGAAATTTCAGGGCTCCTTATATATTGATGTTAATTAATCCTTTTTATTGAAATTTCGTTTTTTTTTTTAGGTTGCAACAATAATTATGTACAACATAATCAACTCACCCCCATTTGTAAGAATCTACACCAATGTTATCGGTTTCCAATCTTAAAACTTGAATATCTTCATTAGCTGGAGCAGCGATGGCAACAGCGAAAAGGGCAACACAAACAATAGCGAATTTCATTTTTAAATTTATTTTTTTTTTTGGTATTACCGTGTCAGGTGTTTTCACTAATAAGCGATTAACTGAACTGTGTTGATCTAAGATAGAATCTTGAAATTTATAGTAAAATCGATGTTAAATAAAATAGTTATCAAAAAATCATTAAAAAAACAAAAAAAAAATATTGTTTATTACGTATAAGATATGTGATATCAAAAAATTGAAGATGAGAAAAAGAAAACAAAAACAAAAAAAAATATATATATTAAAATCGCGTATAAATATGTGCATGTATGTAAATGTATGTCTTTTGCTTAAACAATTTAGTTTTGCTTTTTCTTAAAATAAAAAAATTCGACAGCAATAAAATAGAAAAAAAAACTGTTAAAAGGTATAAAAAATAAGAGTTAGTAAATATAGAAAGAGATGAAATTATACAGAAAATTTATGAGTTAAAAAATAACAAACGCAAATAAAAAAAAAATTAATAAAATATTAAAACTAGATTTGTCTATTAGATGTAGTTATGCGCAGCTAAAAAACTAGCAAAAAGATACCCGAAAAAGTGGTATATTATGACAAAAATTTTACCAAGTTTATAAAACTTGATTTAAAATTCCAAACCCATATTATAATGAATTACTAAATAAGAAAAAAAAAAAAAACAAAAATTTATTAAGTTTCGTGGTCAAGGTAAATGCAAAACATTTTCAACAAAATTCATTTTTTAATATTAAATAATTTTCTTGTTAATTTTTTTTCTCTTCAAATCTTAGTCGAAAAGTTCAGAGTATATCAAGTTTAATAATAAATAAATTAGATTAATTAAAAATGTTTTATTAAATTTTGAAAAATAATAATGTAGTTTTATTCGTTGAAGACTAATAATAGAAAATAATCAGTAAAAATTTAATAAATCTTTTATATAATATCGTAGATTATATAAGTTTGGTAAACATACACGTTATAAAAATGATATTTAATTGCAAAGGATTAATAATACAAATATATTAAATTAAGCCAATAACAACTTGATTATTATTTCATTAAAATTAATCAATTAATTTTACTTAGTGTTTAGTCTACAACAAATAAATTTGATTTAATAAAAGAAAAATTGGATTTAATTTATTTAATGCGTAAATAGAAATTAACAAATAAAAAAGAAATTTGAAAATGTCTATATAATAAATTATTTTTTAATGTAATTCTATAACTTTATAAATCTAAATTTTCAATTAATATATTTATTTAATTTTATTTAACACAATTAAATTTAATTTAAAAAAAAATGTAATAGTTTTGATAAAATTTAAACGTGCGTGTTAGTAAAATAAATAAATTTTAAATGTTATACAATTTATGCAATAAATTTAAATTATAAGTGTGTGCTTTAAAAGATATTCAATGTTAATATGTTGAATGTAGTATTTTAAAAATCAAAGGCATTATAAAAGTAATTTGAATATTAAATGCAAATTCATAAATTAATTTTAAATAATTTTAATAAAAGATGTCTGAGCAAGAAAAAATTAAATTTTCTATTTAATGTGATCCTTAAATAGATAGAATTTATTTGAAAGATTTCGAATTATCAATTTTCTTAAAAATAATTTTGGTTTTACAATTAAAAATTTTGTTATTTATTAATAAATTATCAAAATTTAAAAATTAATATACATATATATATATATATATATTTCTGACTGAAAGAAACTTTTCGAAATAGTTGATTTTGAAAATCAGTATGAAAAACAAAACAACCATCAGCTAACCAAGTTACTGCAAAAAAATTTTTTTTGCTGATATAATTAATTTTTGCAAAAATAATTTGCTCCTTGTATAATTTAAATTTTAGCTCTATGTATAATTTAAATATACATCCATATTCTGTTAGTAGTATCTCTTGACGTGATGGGTAGTTCTTGAAAAATTATGTAATTTTCTGTTGATAATAAATTCCAAAATTCGAAATTCTACACAAAAAAACGAAATTCTTTTAGATAATGGCTTACCACTTCAAATGATGCGACTAACAGAATATGGGTCATAACTCATAACAAATAATTTTAAGTACTATAATAAATTTATTATATTATACTTAATGAGGTTACAGTTTTATTGAATTAGAATTGATACCAATAACTTTACTTAATTTTTTGTCATAAATGTGAACAAAAAACAAACCAATTTAATGTATTGCAGTCTGATTAAATATAATTTTCTACTTCTATTGTAAAAAATCAATACAGATTTAAAGTATTAGAGTAAATTTTAATTTTTAAAATAATTTTTACTAATCATTATTAATATTTAATAGCTTTTACCACGTTTTTTTGAATGCTTTTTATATATCAACTATTTTTTTAAAATTGTTGAACTTTAACCAATTTTATAAATTTATTATTAATTAATAATTGTATGTATAATACACATGTGTGTATAAAAGATTTTTTAAATGTCTGTAAAAAGATAAAACCTTAAAATATTCAGTTTTTTTTTTTTTCGAAATTCATAATAACCGGAAATGACAATAATTATACGGTATCACAAACTTTTTCTTAACTAATAAACAACTAATAAATAATTTTCTCACTACATAAAATATTTACAATTTTTCAATATAAACAAAATTGCACTTTTTATTGTATATTTTGTTATTAATGTTAAAATACAAAGACAAAGTAATATAAGATAAATTATGATTATTAATATTTTATATTTTCAATTTAAGAATTACGGTAGCTGGTGATTAATAAATTTAAAATTCATATTAAATTATACTCTAATATACCGGTAAATTTGAAGAAAAACAAAATAAAAATAATATTAAAACTTGAATATTATCATAAATTACCGATTTCTATACAAAATTTGACAAAAACAGCCTACCATTCAGTAACACAAATATCTACAAACACAGTATGTAATAAGAAATATCTTTGTAATAGAAAAATATTCCATATTCACAATTATAAACTTAAGAAAAAGAGCATAATTATGACTAAAATTTAAAATCTTCTGTTATGATTTTCATTTTTTGTTAATTTTTTTTTGGATTTTTTTAAATTGATTAAAGTGACAACAGTTGAATATTTTAAGACAAATGTTCTTGAATTTATTGTTTATTAATGAATCATATTATTTAATTAATTGTAAATTATTAAATTAGAATTATGTAACAGTAAATTTATAACAGTAAATTATTTTATATTTTTTTGTTTATTTTATGAATTACACGCAGAGAAAAATTAATTGATTCAATAATAATAAATTCCAAAAAGAGAAAAAAAGCTTAAAATCGAAAATGCTTCATCCTAAATATAGGCAAATTTTAGAAATTTTATTCAATTATATATGAATAATATGTATGCATGTACGATTTTATTATTTTATGCTTGTGAATACACATATACCTCCTACAATATAAAATTGTACAGAAAATTTTGCAAAAAAAAAAAAAATTTAATAAAAGTTTGAATTTATAATGTAAATTGCTTCCAATTAAAATTATTATTCTCTAAGCAAAAAGAAGATTTTCAATGGCTTTAGTATAGGATTTGCAGAGATATTGAAATAGTTGAATGTTATTATTTTAATTTTTACTGCAGTTCTTAAGTATATTTTAAAGTTTTTTGGAAAAAGCTCTTTCATACAAAATTTTGAGAGGGTTTAACAACAAAAATTAATAATAAGTTAATACATACATACATTGTATCATAATTTAAATATAGCTATCTCAATTTTTATTATTGTTGTTACGATTTTATGATTGTTAAAATTTTACATGCCATTAAAGAAAATTATTTACTGTTGTATATAAAAGTAATTTCAATAAAACCAGTGATCTGTCTTTGAATTAATATATGTATCAACTAATATATATATTTTTAGTATTTAGTGCTTAAAGTTGGAAATGTTGACAAGAAAGTGTTATTGTATCCAATTAGATAATATTTTTTAATGTAATAAGAAAATTTATGTGTTTTTAATTAGTTTTTTCCTCGATTAATGCGTTTAAAATAACAAGTATGTGTACAATTTAATATATAAGAAATTACTAGTAGGTCAACATGTAAAAGATGTTTTTTTCATGCATGAAAATTTTAATAATGAAAATTTGTCAATTTAAAAGAAATTTGTACATATGTAAATGTAGTATTGAAGAATAATGTAAAACGTGTTGGTAGTATTATATTACTTCTTGTTAAAGTACTGCTGTGTCCACATAATGAAAAATTATGTTCAGCCTAAATATATGTTAATTCTTTTCTCATATATTAAATTTATGTTTTGCATTAAAATTTGTGTGCTAATTAGCATGACAAAATTAGGCCCGATTAACTAGTTTAAAAATTTAATTAATTATTAAAAAATAACTTAAGTGGTTGGACTAGAAAATAAAATGTAAAATAGTATATTATAAAACAATGTTCATATGTTTACATATAAAATAACATATATATATATATATTATGATTGAACAAAAAATTTATAAAAGAGCTATGTATATGTCTGTAATTTATAGTAGTAAAATTTCCAAATTAAATAAAAATTAAGAAAGATTTGAAAATTCAATAAAATTTTCATGTGATTCTAAATTTAAAACCCTCAATATTCTAATCAATTAATACTAAAATTAAGATCCTGCGAAATTTTTTCTTAAATAGCTTTTTTTTTAAATAAAAGATAATTTTTTTGTTTTTCTGTTATACTTTTGACAATTATTTTTATTCCCTACATATTCTTATTTTTCATTCTAAGTTAAATTTCATTTTTAGAGTTATTTTGGTAAATGATCTCCTTGTGGTTGGTATCCATTTTCGTCAGCAACATAATTTAATGAATAGGTTTGTCCATCAGCATCAACCCATGATACTGAACCACGTACTGAGATACCTTCTTCTTCAGTTCCTACATTTTTTAATTCAGCTTGTTCTTGACGGGATGTACCATCACTTGTTTCGAAACTGTTATAAAAAAAAAAATCATAATTTTTTTATTTTAAATAAAATAAAATTACACATTTCTTACGCGAATTTGTATCCATCAACACCAATATTATCGAATTCACTTTTTAAAACTTGTGCTTCTTGTGGACTATCTAATGGTGCAGCTAATGTAACAGCTAAAAGAGCAGCAAATACAATTGCGAATTTCATCTTGAATTTTTTTTTTTGGTTTTAGTTGCCTTGATTAGGTATTCCCAGAATTGAAATCAAACTTAGAATGATTTTTTCTGTAATAATCATGTCAATTTATATACGCTTTAAAAAAAAAACAAATAGATATCATAGAAATTAAAATAACAATAAGAGTAAATTATTAGTAATTTGTATTTTTAATGAAAACACATGTTGAAGAATATAATATAATTTAATTATATTTATAATAATAAATTCATATTTGAATGAAATTCAAAATTATAATTTTTAGTAACTTGATTTCCATAATACACAAATAATATTTATTTTTAAATTTTCAAAGAATCTAGTTAATTTAAAAATTATTTAGATTATAATAATACAAAAAAAATTTCTTAAAAATTCAGTAATAATCTATTTAAATTAAAATCAAATTTAAAATATATACAAAATATTAAGTATATTGTAATTTAATCGAGTAAATTTGAGCAGCGCTTTACAATATATGAAATGTAAATTTGCAAATTATATTTTTTATACTTAAGCAATTTATTTGTAATTTAATAAAAACTAAATGTATTTAATAGTTTAATTATTTTTCAAAGGCTAGAAGAAATGTATTATTAATTGCGTTCTTAAAATAAAACATCTTGCATAAAGTATTGTGTGGACTCAGATCAGCTATGACACTCTATTGAATTAATAATTAAAAATTAATTAAACATGCTTTTTAATTTCATTTGAAAATAATATTAATTCGAATTAAAACGAATAAAATTTAATTTTTAAAGCAAAAGAATCTTAATGGCACTATACAATATGCAAAAACTTAAAAAAAACTCTGAAAATTAAGAAAATTTTTGAAATTAATATTGCAGACAGGCATAAAATTTTTAATTTCTCATATTATTAACTTTTAAATCTAAATTTCGAAATTATTTTCTATATTCATTTGCGAACAGTCTATTGTACTTTCTCAGGGTTAAATTTATAAAATTATTCTTTTTTTCATTAATGATCCAATTAATTAAATTAAGTAGATCTTAATATAAATTTAAATATGAATAGAATTAGAACTAGACTAATATAATATTGACCTACCTATTTTTAAATATAAAATTATTTTTGATAAAAATTAAATCCTATTATAATATATTTTAATATTTCATTAGTTTCATCATTTGGACGCGTGATATTTTCTATTAAACCTATTTAATTAAATACAATAACCAAGTTTTTCTTGTTTAAAACAAAAGAATAAAAAAAAAAATGAAAAATTAAATAATAATAGAATTTTGTAAATAATTTTCCAGTATACTAAAATATTCTTGAATATATTTTTAACAATATTTTTTTAATTATATACAATTAAGTAATAAAATACAATACTAGTTTACAGAATTAAAGCAATTTTATTGTATAAATATTTTGTAAAATTAATAATATTCGTTTTATATTTATTTTTAGGTATATCCAGATTTTCATTGCATTTTCAAAAATGAAACATATAGATTTATTCGAAACAGTTTCTTTCGAAAAAAGAAGACCCGAACATTGTACCCAAACCAAGACCAGTTCGAGACCCTTTCAACCAATTCAACTTCAATTAGTTCAGATCCAGACAAGTTAGTTATTATTAAAATTATTATTAGTCTGCTATTCCGAAGAATATTAAGTGGGCTGAGGTAAAATTGCTTTGAAAGTAGAACAAATGAAATTATTTAGTGCAGCAAAATAAAATCATCTACAATGTGAACATTGAAAATTCCAACTACACCTGGTAAGTTTTTCTATATATTAGATTTTAACAGAAAATATTTTGTATACTTGAACTTAAAGTACCTCTCAGTTGTTTGGCCAACTGCATGCTTCTTCTTTATGATTCTTTAAAATGAAATGGAATTCACTTTATATTTTATTAAAAATTTATTCTTGCATTAATATATTTTTTTGCTGTTAAAAATCGTGCTTGATTTTCTTCAATTTTTTTTTTGTTGTCTTAAAATACAGAATTCCAAATATGTGGCTGTATTCTTCTCCAAAGATTTACCAGACAAATAACTACATACATAGAAGGTAATCAAATCGAAAAAAATCGCATACTTATACTTAGTTGCATGTCTAGCGCAAACATGGAAAAAAATTACATTAGTTGTTTTTTTTTTTATATATTTGACATGTTTCATATTAACGGTATTAATTTGCATTAATTAATAAGTTTGAAAAAAAAACGGCAATTTTGACTAATATTTAAAATCACAAAAAGAAAACCCAAAAAATTTATACGACCTGTTTTTAAGGTCGACTACTTTGTTGAATCTTCCAAATCAATGAAAATTTCAATATAAAAAAGGCAACGAAATTTCAAATTATCTTCTCTTTCTTGCTTTTAGGCAAATCTTTAGAAAATAATGATAAATTGATGATAAATAAATGGTATAAGACAAAAACGAAAAAAAAAAACAATTTTATGGTATTAATAAAAATACAAAATTATTACTCTATGGACATTAAATTTTCATTTATAGTTTACATATAGTGTGTAGGTTTTTTGTTAACTAATTTTTAAAGCATATTAAGCTTTAAAAAGATAACATATTACTAAAATTAATTATAAAATAAGTTCATATAGTCAATTAAAGAGTAGAGTATGCATGAATTAAGAGACTGATGGTGTATCTCGCTTTTTTACCCACTTTTTTCTCATTTTCATTCAGAATTCTCAGTATTTTGTAATGGATGTTTTACTTTTCCAATAAGATTAGTAATTTTTTTAATTGAATATTTGCATTTTTTGTCAAATTATCGACTGAACGTCTTACTTTCACAAACAATGTAAATTTTGTACGGATTTTAAAAAAAAAACAAGGTACGCAATACCAAATAATTCTTCTCACTTGAAAATTACATTAAACAAGTATGCAATAGTTACTCACTTTCTTCTCACTTTTCGAGTAAAATAGCAAGATAAAAAATCAAACCCTAAATGTCAAGTTGACATAATCAGCATTAAGCGGTTGAATTTTAATTATTAAAACAGTCAAATTTTAACCGTTGAATAGCACAAACTGCCTGTCAGGTTTCTTAGGTATTGTGATTTCAAAACTACAATCATGCAATTCAGCTTATCAATACCGCCTTGCTTCAAATTTCCTGGCCGGTGCATAAACTAATATTATTTTGATGAAATCGAAATTATTACCGAGTAAATAAATTATGTATAGAATTATAAATTAAATTATGAGTATATTATGCATAATAATGTGTTAATCCGAAACGTTATGCAGTACTTGCAGACATTTATGAATTGCATTAAAATTTTTTTTAATAAAATAATTTAGTAATCACTAAATATTGTTTTTTAATTAAATTTACATATGTATATATACATGTATAATATGTATTTGTATGTATATTTATTATTTTGTATCTGTTCATTATAAGATCGGTTAGTTTTAGAAAATCTAAGTCAACCTTCAAATTTTTTGACAATAAATTAAGAAAATATATCGCAAATGTCATATTTGTCACTTAAACTGTTTCTTAAAACATTCAAAATGCATATATACATACATATACGATTTCTATTTTTGGTTTTTATCTTTCTCTTTAAAAGCATGTCAAATATACGATGACATATTAAAATTTATTACAAAAAATTAACGATTATATAGAATTTCGAAAATTTTAAAGATTATTTAACAATAAAAAAAAAAAAACAAAATTTTAAAATATCGAAATAATTATGCAATATGTTTGACGGCATAATTCACACGGCACGAATTCATGTGGCACAAAAAAAAAAAAGAAGATAACTAAGCAAGAAGCAAGACATACCCAAACATTTTTTTTTTTGTTTTAAATTTTAACATTCACAAAATTTGCATTTTTTTCACCTAATTTTATTTATTTTGATTTTGCTTTTGTTTTCTTCCATTTTAATGCATTTAAATTTCAATGTCAATAAACTGAGCTAAAAATAAAATAAATTTGGTAACACTTTTGCTTTTTTTTGTATTTTTAAAATAAGAATTAAATAAATAAACAGAAAAGTGAATTTCTAACACCCACATAATAAAAATAAACAAAAAATTAAATTGAAGAAGAAAAATTATGCCAAAAAATTTCATAACTCTTCTTTATAATTTTACTGCCATCATAAATTCTTGAATACGTTCACACGATGAGTGTTATATAACAAACTAAGAAAACATTTTACAAATTCCAAATTCTTACATGATATTCGCGAATTCTTATACAATTTATGATGCTATTATGTAAGTGTTTTATACAATAAATATCGCTTATTTTCTGGAACAATGACATATGTGAAAAAAATACGATTTTTAATTTATTTATACAGAAATAAAGCTCTTAAAACATTTCTTTTCTATGCAAAAACACCAATACAAGATGTCGAACAATTCAATAATCTCGGCAGTATAATATTGACAACCGGAAGTGGCAAAGAAGACGTAGTACATTTATAGAGAAATACAAGATTGAGAATATTCAACACATGCGTGAAATCAGTCCTGTTATATTGATGGAAACACGGCTAGCGAAAAATCAGTACACAAACAAAATACTGGTATTCATAAATACCTTAAGAATCAGCATCCGAGTATTCTGCCTCAGACAAATAAGTACCAAAGACTGTTGGCCTTTAACATACCAAGGGCAAGAAGAAAGAAAAATTTGGTGATGGATAAGTCATACATTGGAATGGCCACCCGAAACAATGGCAAGAAGTGGAACACGCAAGAGAGAAGGAACGTTGGACGACCAGAGCAAAAACAATAAAGAAAGAAATCTGGCAGCCAACAAGACATGGGCAGAAGTAAAACGAATGGCCTTAATACACTTCGTTGGAGTCGTTTTGTGGAAACCCTAGGGTAAAAAAACATTAGACACTTTGAAATTCATTTTTATCAAATGTGCAAATTTTGAGTTATGTCAGTATTGCAACGACCGCGATATCATCGAACACATTCTGAAATTTTGCATATTTACCATATAAATCTATTCCATCTGGATATTGAGATTCTAAAAACGCAATTTTCTATTATATTTTCCCTAAGTTTATATATTTTTCATAGGCTAAATTAGATTGAAGATTTTATTTTCTTACCACTCTAATAAAGTCCAAGTGTAGATCAGGTCAACTGCATTTTTTTATGAATTTTATATGCTTAAAATTCATTCTTTTGTTTATTTTTTTTTTTTAAATTTATTTAACTTTTTGCAAAATCCAAAACTAAATAAAAAAAAATATATAAGTATTAAAGCATCGTTAACTTTTATTGTGATAGTGTTAAATGGTTATTCACACTTACAACTAGTAAAAAAAAACAAGAGAAAATTTAGCAAAAACAAAATATTAAAAAAAAAAAAAAAATGCAAACATTTATTGATGAGCTTAAATAAAAAATTATTATTTAATAATAAAAATTAATAAAAATGAAAAAAAAAAAAAATTTTTTGAACAATACCCTGCCATTTTATATCACGCTTAGATTCTAGTAATGAAATAACTTAATTTACTAAATAACTTTATTAATGAACTTACTAAAGGAAGTTGAGAATGAAATGAGGTAGGAACGAAATTTTCTGAGCAGAAAAATATTTTGAAAGTTCAATAATTAAGTACAATATCATTATTAAGCTGATTTCGTATGAAGAGGATCATCCGCCAAGTCAACTCCCAAAACTAGTCCGAAAACTAACATGTAAAATTTTTTTCATTCAATTATTGGACGGGATTTTCATTCAAATTTCCGATATTAACTTAGTGAACACTTCTATAAAGAAATAATTTGAATATTTCGCAGTGTTGGGTGCGAATCTTTTAAATGTTTTTATTATTAGTAAGCTCTTAACGAATTACTGACGTATTCAGATAGTTACAGATAATAGCTCTCACTAAAAAAATTTGTTATCTCTTTATTATTGTTAGTTATTCAGAAAATAATAGTATAAAAATTTGCGATCAATAGTTCGAGCTCAATTTGGAGAAGAAAATTTTTTTAATTCTTGCGCTTTCAGTCTAATTTGCGTATTAACACAATCCATCTCTATCAGACAAGGCAACATGGGTTCATTTCCTATATCTGAAAGAAGAGATTAGCACCTAAATTATAATCATCTAAATTCCTAACTCCTCTTGGTGATTAAGATTTGTTTTTTTTTTTTAATTAAAATTTTTTATTGAATAATTATTAAACAAATCGATGACACTATATAATAATATAATAAATATGTAAAATATATTCAAGTACTAATTCATTTATACATACATACATATGTATATAAATGTCTGTATACGGATGTACATACATATGTATATAAGTATATTAATATTATTTATTATAATAAAATATTATAATCTCCTTAATGTATTTATATTTATTTTTATAGACAGACCTTAACGATTTTAAATCGCAAATCATTCAAAAAATAACAAAAAGAAAAAAAACAAATATCTCTAGACAATGGAAACTTAAACAACAAAAAAAAAAAACAATATAAAATCGATTAAAGTCCAAAAACAACTTTGCAAAAATTTTAAAATTATTGAAAAAATAAAAAACCTAAAAAAGTCTGTAAAACCATTCAGTTCTGTTCTTTAATTCTGTTAAGTTGAATCGATTAACATTTTTAATTTCAATAAAAATTTAATCCATTTTTATTTCTTATTGTAAGTTAAATAATAAAATTCAAAAATTAAAATTTCTTCTAGTTTAATTTAATTCTTGTTTGTTTTGTTTTGGTTTTTTTTTTTTTCAAATTCATCAAAAGTGATAAATTTTTGACTCAAAATCAAAATGAATCGTTTACAAATGTCATTGATCTTATTAACAACATTAATTGTCACAGTATTGGCATATCCACAAAAAGAAGAAATTGTTTTGTATGAAAGTGACGTTGATGACAAAGGATATAATTTTCAGTAAAGAAAATTTGTTTATTTTTTTTTTTTCAAAATATATTTTGACACATTTGTCATATAATGCCAGAATTATTAGAATTTAAAATTTGATTTATTTCACTTATTAATAAAATTTTTCTTGAAATTAATTAACTAATTTAATTTTTAAATGATTTTAGATATGAGACAAGCGATGGAATAGCACGTATTGAAAGTGGAAAATTAAAACCTGATAGTGAAGGTGGAGAAAGTATATCAGTTGAAGGTACATATACATATACGGATGATAGAGGTGAACAACATACTGTTAAATATATTGCCGATGAAAAAGGATTCAGACTGAAACCATAAATATTTTTTTTTGAAAAATTCTTAAAATTCTTCCTTTGGAAATTTCATATTAAAAAAATGTAAAATTGTTATTTAGCTTTTAAAGCCCAGAAAAAAAAGCAAGAAAATAAAATTTTTAATTATTTTAGAATAATAATAATAAAAATAAATTATTAGAAAACAATAATCATATTATTATTGGTGAATTTTAAATAATTAAAATAAAAAAAAAATATAATAAAATTTTAATATTTATGTTTATTTATTTTGTTCATAATGTAAAATTATTTTTTTTTTTTTTTGTTTAAAATATTCTTGAATATTTAATTATAAAAGACAAAAACGAACTTGTAAGGCGTCTGAATTACAAAATTTATTCAAAAAAGACAAAAGGTGTTTATTCTTCTTTAATATATATGTACATACATATAGTTGTTAAGAGGACTATAATATATATATATATTTTTTGTTTTTTCATAATATAATTAGCATCTTTTATTGTAATTAGACATTTTTATTTACCTATTTAATATTCAAAAAAAAATAAGAAAAAAACTTTAAAAAAAAAACCTGATTTGCTTTCGGGTCAACTTTAAGTTATATAACATTAAAAAATGATGTTGGAATACTGGTTACTTGTATAATAACAATAATTATGTATTTAATATAGTGAAATAAGAAATGTTGAGTAAGGTTATAAACATATTATATACGATTATAATCAAAAATTATTACCAGAATCACCAGAAATATTAAAAAATTTTTGTTAAATAATTTAAAATCTTTAAATTATAAGCAAATATGTATGTAAATTTTCATATGATATAGTTGATTTCGCGTGTAATTAATTAACATAATGTATGTGAGAACATACATTATAGAGTGATGTAATATATAGATTCAGGATATAATTTTTAAAATAAGGTTTTGAAAGTGAAAGTTTGTATATTATGTAAAAATATAGTATTATATAAAACTTCTATTTGTAACTGAAGGAACAGAAATAATCAACATAAATTTTAGAGCTATGACAAATTATATTTTATCAAAGAGAATATGTACTTATATTCATTTGTATAGAAATAATAATGTGTTTTCTGGGTAAACTAAGGGAGATAAAGACGAGAAACCCGTCAGGTCATTCTGATGACTCTCTGAGCTAATAATCACTGACGAGCCAATAAGGTGGTCCATCAATGATTTTAAAAAACAATGTTCATGACGCTACTCCTTATAGTTTTTCTTAACAGTTGTAAATGTTTTCATTCATTTTTTTATTCTCAATCTTTTATTACGCTACTCAAGGCACAAAGCACCTTCAACATCCAGCTTAGATTAATAAATTAATTGTTGTTCTATAATACTCTATAATATGTAGTTCTATAATATGTAGTTATCTCATTACAGCATTGACCCCACGCAACTCAGTACGTGAGTCTTTGTTAGAGACCAATTACATAAGAAGTTATTCACTTCCAATCACAGAGAGAATTTTTGAAAACGATATTTTAAAATCTCTAATCGAACAACGATGAATGATTAACATAAAAGTCAAGTCTACTACTCAAAAAAATTCAAATTTTTTCAAATTGAACAATTTGATCCCGATTTTTCAAATTATTGATATTGCTAGAGATCATCATTTACATTTTCTCATTTTAAATTAAATTCTGTGTTCACAGATTTAAGATAAATTTGTTACATAAATTAAATCATATTGTATGCATATGATGGTACTTTCAGATTTTTAAGGAAAATAATTGTAATGAAATTTTTTTTTTTTGCATGAAAATTCTTTTAATTTAATTTTGCAAATAATTTATTTTATATTTCTGTCACATATTTAAACATTCTATACAATATTGACTAGAACATCAACACTTTTCATCCAATTAATTTTTTAAACTTAATTTTACAAATTATTTTTTAGCTTTTTTGGTTTGGCAATAATTTATTTATGGAGCTTTTGGAATATGATCACCTTGTGGTTGGAAACCATTTTCATCAGCAACATAATTTAATGAATATGTTTGTCCATCAGCATCAACCCATGATACTGAACCCCGAATTGAAATTGCTTCTTCATCTGATCCAAGATTTTTTACTTCAGCTTGTTCTTGACGTGATGTACCATCACTGGTTTCAAAACTATATTTATTACAAAAAAAATTCAAAAAATTAATGAATTTTATTCTAAATTATTAAAAAAACAGGGCAACTATATTACACTTACGCAAATTTATAACCATCAACACCAATATTATCGAATTCACTCTTTAAAACTTGAGCATCTTGTGGACTATCCAATGGAGCAGATAAAACGATTGCAAAAAGAGCAACAAATACTATGATGCATTTCATTTTGAAAATTATGGTGTTAATTACTTTTGTAATATGTATAATTAAATAAATGTTACTGATCTATTTTCCAAAAATAGAATGATAATATTTTTGAAAATTTTTTTTATTATATATAGAAAAATAACAAAATATTGTGAACAGACGATAACAAAAACAAAAAAAAACAACTAAAAATATTTTACTTTTCATTCAAAATCAAGAAAAAACAGAAAAAAAAAATAACTTTTTTCAATACCAATTGATTAAGAACTCGCTGAAAATTCAATGGGAAAACATGTTATACAAATTTGAAATAATTTTTTTTTAAGTTAATTAGGAAACATTCAAGGAAATTATAATCCAAAGATCTTTAATCTCTATGTAATTAATATATATGTATTTAATCAATTGTAGTTTTTAATATAATTTATTTTTACAGATAAATTTGAATATTTAAATAAATTTTATTATTTTACTAGTCTCTTATATATGTACAGTAGATATTCCAACAAAGTGTTTAATTATATTTAATAATAATTGCATATATTACAGTTTATTAGTGTTACGGCATGTAAACAATTCTTGTTCATTAATAAACTATTATAAAGCGGCTTAAATTTTATTTATTAAATTCTAATGAGCTACATATATATATGTACATCTTTCAGGATATAGTGTTCTTTAAGTAGATTTTTCAGATAGATTAAGAACAATTATAATTAACGAATATTGTCATAGTATTTATATCACATGTAATTCAGAAATGATCGTACGCGGTATTTTGTACAAATTTAGAAAAAATTACATTATGGATTTAATTAAAAGAACATATTGCATGTAAAGAAAAGAACAAGATTGCATGAATTTATTATTTTAGAAATTCAGACATACCTCCAAACTAGAATTTGTATATGATGGCCATACCAGCCATAATAGCCAAATATTGTAGATATATGGTATAACTTTTGCTTTCAGTTCATTTTAGTTCTTTTTTAACCTATACATAATTTAATATTCAGTATCAGATTATGTTTTATAGTTAAACCGGCTTTTATAAAGAATCATATAACATGTATGTATAGGAAGTATAATATAAAAAAAAAATAATTACTATACATAAATAAATTTCAAATATAGTAGCAAAATTAATTTAAAAAATGATTTAATACTTTAATAAAAGTTCACGTCTCATCTTTTTATATTGAGAAGAAACGGTTGAACTTGTTGTTGCCACTATATGTTTTTTTCTTTTTTTTTTTTATAATAAATTCATAATTCTAATATTATGTAAATTTTAATATAGAGACAAGTTTTTTAATTTATTTTTATTTTATTAATATTTTTGATGTTTATTTTATATAATCTTGTCGCTTATGTAGACATAACAAGAGCATTTTTTAAATTAAATTTGAGTTTAAATTTACAATATGGAATTTTTTTTTTTTTGAATTCTTAAAATACCAAAGATTTCTTTAATCATAATTGCTAATATTTTATTAAATAATCAGGCGGGTTTTAAAATAATATTTTCCTGTAAAAAATTAAACATGAAATTTTATGTGTGATTTACATGATATTTTTGAATTTGAAATTTATAAAATTTTTTGTTATCTTTTCTCTTTTTTCTTATTAATAGTTATAAATAATTAATTCTATAAAGTAAAACTGGTAGGTTTGTTATATTGTTAATTATTATAATAATTTAAGCAAAATTTTCTTATATGAAATACCGCTCGCATACAATATACAAATAGAAAAGAAAAGAAAAATTAAAATAAAAATAGAAAAAAAATTTTTAATTCTTTAAATTTTAATTTTTCGTAAAAATTAAGAATTAAATACACAATTGATTAGTAAGGAAAGAATTTTTAATTTTCTTTAATAATTTTTTTTTTTTTTAATTTTTGTTAGGTAGGTATATAAGAAACATTCAATTTTTTAAAGTTGTATCATTGTGATTTCGAAGTTCACTTAGGATAAACGCAAAAATTCTTTTAAAAATTATTAAAAATTATTAAAAATTAACAAAATGAAATTCATTATTGTATTTGCTGCTTTATTTGCTGTTGTCCTTTCTGCTCCATTAGATAGTCCACAAGAAGCACAAGTTTTAAAAAGTGAATTCGATAATATTGGTGTTGATGGATACAAATTCGCGTAAGTTTTACAAGTTATATGAAAATTTTTTAATTTTAATATTGAAAATTGTTGATTTTCACAAAAAATATTGCTATTATGGATTAACAGAAATTAAGTGAAAATTTTAAAATTTCAAATTAATCAGTAAAATATTTTGATTTCTTTAAAATAAACTCAAATAATGGATAATTCTTTAATAAATAAGTGAATAAAAAATTTTTATATTGCATATTAGTTGAATGAAAAAAAAAAATATTCGTGAAATTTTTCCATTAAAATTTTGTAATGCAATTTATTTTATGAAAATGTTATCCTGAAAGTATGCAACATTTTTGTTAAATATTTTGTATCACAAGAATTAATTTTTAAAAATTAAAATTTTAAAAATTTTTTTATATTATTAAAACTTTAAAATTAAGATTTTTTTTTTTTTTTGAAAAAATTTCAAATATTTTATAATTTATTAAATAATTTTTTTTTTCTAACAGTTTCGAAACCAGTGATGGTACATCACGTCAAGAACAAGCTGAAGTAAAAAATCTTGGATCAGATGAAGAAGCAATTTCAATTCGTGGTTCAGTATCATGGGTTGACGCTGATGGACAAACATATTCATTAAATTATATTGCTGATGAAAATGGTTTCCAACCACAAGGTGATCATATTCCAAAAGCATAAAAGACATCAGTTTTGGAAAAAAAATTAAAGGGACATTAAAACTTGATAGTTGTTAAATTGAAATTAATTTATTTTTTGGGGTACAAAAAAAAAGAACAGAAACAAAAAAACACAATAAAAATAAAATGGACGGAATAGAATAATTTTTCTTTTTTTGGGTTTACAATCTAGTCAATTTAAGAAAAAAATAATTTAAAAAAGAAAACTTAAAAACAAAAATTAATCTTTTTCTTTCTAAACAGAGCAATTATAAGATTGTTTTTTAATTACCTGCAATGTGTTTGGAAATGATTAGGAATTGACCTTGTTATATATAGGAAATATTGCTGAATTTAGAAGAGAAGGAAATAAAATTTTAAAATTTAATAATATGCGCTCTTAATTAATTAATAAATGAACTCTTCCATTTTAAATCTATAACTTAATTATCACGTTAATGCCATTGTCATTTAAAAGTTGTCATTTAAAAGTTACTCTTGATTTACTAAGGTGATATTAATTAAATGATTATTGGTATCTCACAATTTTTCACAACTTAAATATATCACAACTAGTTCTTACAATTTAATACAATTTGAAAATGAATTCCTACATAATATTTAACACTCTCCATAATAAAGTTTGTCGTACAGAAGGTGATAGTATAAGTAGTGTTATTAAAAAAATGGTTTTCCTTAAAAAATTATAGCAAAGAATGTTATATAAAGTTCGAAATAATTGAAAATTAACAAATTATAGAATTATTTAGCTAGACTATAGACAGAATTCCGATTAAAATCATTTTATTTTTATTGGTGAAGTAAAATTATTTTAAGTAAGGATTTATTGAATTTTCTAAAAGTACAATGAACTTTTATTAAAAATTTCTTTTTGAATTTTTTGAACAGTATTAAAATTTAGCTCTTTCTAATAATTGATTATAATTAAAAGATTAAGCTGCAAGACCAGTATTCAATCAGAACCATACCAAAATAACGGTTATAGTTTTGACCCTGAAAGTGAATTTAATTCTCACCACACCTTTTAATAGAATAAAAGAGTTAAAAAAATTCTTGAATTAATTGAGATGTTTCAAATTTTTACTTTTGAAAACTTTTCATTTCTGCTGTTTTTTTTTTGTTTTTAATATAAAAATGTCAAAGATTTTTAGAAAAAATAATTTATTACTTTCAAAAATATATGTAGCTATCTAGTTGCTAGTTAATTTTGTTACACATATACATTCATACAAACTTAACAAATAAATTGATTAAACGACTTTTATTTCTCCGATTTCTACCAGTTAAGCGAGAAAAATTTTGCAATAAAATCAATGTATAGGTCAGTTCATATACATACGTATACATGTATATGAACATTTAGAAATTAAATAGAAAAAACAAAACCAAAAAAAAAAAATTAAATTAAATATTTCATCTTTGGCTAGTAAATTTTTAAAATTTAAAAAAAAAAATATGTAACTATCTAGTTTAAACGATTTTTAAGCAACTAAAACATGGTGGCATGATTATAAACCTATAATCGAATCAACCAAATTTGATGTAATCATATAATAACTACAATCTATAATCATTATAAATGTAGATATAATTTTGGGTTAAACAAATTTACATACATTCACATGAGAATATAAAATTTAATATTTACTTTAATTATACGAGTACAGTAAAAACCTGCCAGAGGTGAATTCGCAAGGTTTTTGAAGAGGTTTTGTAACACTAAAACTAAATGTTTTCTTAATTTTCTGACCATCATTTTTCGCTAATGACAGATTTTCGTCTCTCACAAGGTCCGACTTTCACAAGTTTTACTGTATATTTTACTGACATAACAGAGAATCATTGTGGGTGCAAGTAAATCTGCAATATTTAACAAAATTAACATAATATGGTAATGGTGAATATTTCATTTAACAAAAGAAACATTTAAAAAGAAAAGAAAAGTAAATAAAACCCAAAAAAAAAAAAGGTCAATTTTATGTAAATTCACCATATTAATGCTAATTATAATTAAAATCAAATAAAAAACAGAAACAGAAAAACTTTAACCTGATTAACTAAAATTGAATATACAAGTTTGTATGCATGTAAATTTTTTAATAAACCCACAAAATATTGAAATTTTGTACTAAATTTTAGAACACAAGATAAAAACATTGGAGCATTTAATTTGAATTTTAAATATATATATATAATTTTCAATTACAAAATACTGATGAGTGTTATAATGTATGTTGATAAACTAAAAATAAAATAAAAAATTAATTCAAAATTTAAATTTAAAATAAATTCATCAACTTTCCGAATTAAAAATTATTTATGAGATATTTTTTTTTTTGTTTTTGTCTTCGCGAGCTGATCTAGTGTGAGAAAATTAAATAAATGCCTTTTATTATTTAACTAGTTTAAAATTCTTGTACCGTATTATATAATTATACATTATATACATATACGTATCCCTAACTATGTATGTATGTATGTTTGTCGCATTTTTCATTAATTTTTATAATCACTTTTTTCTTATGTTGTTTTATATGATTGTAGTGCAATTAAAAAAACATTTATTTTTTTTTCTATTGCTGAATATAAAAATAATTAAAACAAAAAAAAGTAAAAAAAAAATGTATAAAAAATTAATAGAATTTTTTTTAGGAAATTTAATAAAATATAATAAAAATTTTTTATATATAAATTTAACTATCACACCATATAAAATCTAATTATGTATGTGTATCATAAATAAATTATAAATTTAAAAGAGGATTTTCATATATCGTTCAAAAATTCATAAGCACATTTCCTTATTTTAATGACAATGTAAAACTTCTCTTTTCCTATTTCCACAATGCGGTTGACCACGACAGTACCACGATGGCAAGACCAGATTTATCTCAAAAATTTTTGTGTAGATGATGGTCTTCCTACGGATTACTCGCAGTTGTTAACAATTTTTCAAAAAAAATATCATGAGACGTTAAATATATTGTTTCCGAAGGTTGACTGGGACTTTCAAATATTATGTGAACAATAAGTTGATTACCAACTTACAGTGATAGGGGTAATTCAACTGTAGTTTTTTTCGTTCCTCATCTTCCTTCAATTATTGTTCAAAATATTTCTAAATCTGTAAAATCGCTTCGGAATAATTTGATATCAGTTCATTTCCCAGGTATTAGAATCAATTCAATGACCTTAAATAATATTTAAATTTACTATCAAAATGTTTGAGATCTTGGAAGTAAAACCAATAATGTTTTGCTCAATTTTTCAACAATGGAGTCTAATGTTTTTGCTCTTACGGAAACTTGGCTAACTCCTTCTGTTAACATAAAGTTATTTGGTCGAAATTTTTCAGATCCCTCATGATCATTACGAAACCATTTCTCAGGAACGTTAGTTAATTTTTGATACTCCTGATACTGGAACAATTTTCAGGTGATTGCAGTTAAAATTAAATTAACAAGTGAATTGTTATATACCACCAAATTTTGATTCTGACGTATATTTTAAATTTTCTTCAATGGTTGAAACCATTTACAATTCTATTAGTTTATATGACGAGGTTTTTTGTTTTGATGACATTTTAATCTTCTCAAAATAACTTGGACGACATATAAAGAAGTGCCATTCGGTTTTAATAGGTTGTAATGATGAATTGGAGTTATCTATTGCGAATCATTTTCATTTAAGTAACTTACAACAAGCATCGTGAGTTTTGAACTACCAATCTAAACAATTAGATTTGGTTTTCACTTCTGATTAGCAAATTACGTAAATTATCTTCTAAAGTTGGCATCTTTTATTATATTGACGGTCAACCATGTACAAGTACGACTCTTTTCTATCGGTTCGATTTTAATAGGGCTAATTTTACAATGTTACATGATTTTTTTTTCTGTTTACGAGTTTCTTTAGTATTTGATATTAGTGATATCAATTATTTATTCCAACTATTATAGTACTGAACAAGTACCCACAGTAACTAGTTGAGGGTTAAATTTAAGATGAAAAAAATCCTTGTATCAATAATATTCTGAATTTTGTGTTTTTGGAAAATTTGAATAACGGAACAGACATCCTTGGAGGCATCCAAATATATTAACCTAAAACAGAAAATATTAAAAAAAAAATTAGAAAATTGTTAATTATTAAAAAGTTAAATAAGCAACAACATTAAAAGAAATAAAAAAAAATAGTAATAAAATAATAGTTGGTATATGTATGTTGGTTTTATACTCGTGATCAATTAATCCAAAAACAAAAACCATAAAAGTAGAGTACCAATTTTTTTTTTCTTTTTCGTTGTTCCTATTTAATAAAATCTTCTTTTAGTTAAAACCACCAATGCTACATCTAATATTTTAGTAATATTAATTTTTATATATAGTTTATAGAGGGCAGCATAATTTTAGTTGTCTAGTATATATAAAGCTTTTTGAATTGATCATCTTTACACTAGTCTAATTCGATACGTCTATCGATCAACAAAAAAGAAAAAAAATTATTTCTTTTTTTTTTACTTTTTCAAATTCATTTCTTGTGATTTTTTTTTTAATTAATTAAAAATGAAATTTATTGCAATTGTATTTGTAATGGTATTTGCTGTTGTTGCATTTGCCGCACCATTGGATAATTCACAAAATGCACAAATTTTAAGGAATGATTTTGATAATATCGGCGTTGATGGTTACAAATTTGCGTAAGAATTTTGAAAAATTTTTAATTTCTTTTACTTACGTATTTTCAAATAAAAATTTAAATATCATTTATAGTTATGAAACAAGTGATGGTATCTCACGTCAAGAACAAGCTCAAGTAAAAAATATTGGTACTGAAAATGAAGCAATCTCAGTAAGTGGTACAGTATCATGGGTTGCTGATGATGGACAAACATACACATTAACATATGTTGCTGATGAAAATGGTTTCCAACCAACTGGAGCTCATTTACCAGTTGCTTAAAGTGATATCAACTAGGATAAATAAATTTTTTTTTTTACATTTTTTGTCATTTTTTGGAATGTTTCACGTTTCATCTAGTCGCCTTTTTTTTTTAAATTGTGAATTGTGAATTTTAGTTAAATAAAAATTATATTTTTTTTTACTTTTCTGTATAACTTTTTTGTTTTTTAAAATAAAATTTATTAGAAAATATAAAAAAAATTTTTACTTAAATTAATATAAAATTTTGACAACTCATTTTTAATGTACTAATTTTTTTTGACAATGTGTAAAATAGTGCAATTTGTTTATTACGAAAACCGCAAAATTATTAAAATACTTCTGCCAGGAACTGAATTTATACGAAAAATTGCAAAAAATATGACCGCATCCACGTATACACAACTTCGCAAACACAACAAACTTTAATCACCATTGTTGAATAAAACTAAATTTTGACAAATGTGTATGTGACAGAAAACAAATTTATTACGGATTCAAAATATGTATTCGAAAAATTTCAAATATACAAAAATTCAAGGATGTAGATATTGAAAATTCTGAAAAATTATGTTTTGTATATTGTATGCCAGTATACCTAAATCATGATGTATGGGTATATTCAACATCATTATAATCTTTGACATTTAGTATAGTAAATACACATACATAGGTACTTGCAGTAAACACAACAAAGGAAAATAAAGAAGATTTGAACTTGTTCGTATTCACTTGACGCAACATTAAAAAAAAATATAAGGATTTGACAATTTATTATATGCAGGTAATAAAAACAAAAAATTTATTTACTATACATAGCTACGCGCACTGTTACAATGGAGATATAAATTTAAAATATTTAATACTGACATTTTGTATTTGACATTTTTGTTTTACAAAAAGACAAAATACTTATGGTATTAATTTATTCATATTGTATTTTTTGAATTTTTTTATATACACGGAATGATCATAATAAATTTTGGAATGTACTTGAAAAATTGTATTACAATAATAAATATTTCCTTTAATTTCTCTTTTTTTTGGTTTTCAATATTTTTTTTAATTTTTAAAAGTAGAATCTTTGTATTTTTTCTTATGTTTCCAAGAAAATGACATTATTTTTGAAAATGCTCGTATATTTTCAGATTATATACACAATAAAATCATAATATGTGTATTTTTTTAAAAATATACAAACGCGGATACGAACAGTTAACCAAAAGCATGTCCTAATTCTTCTTTCTCTTACATACATACATAAGTATAGTATTATAAAAATACTTTGGTAGTAAAGTATAGAATTTGTAAGTTTCCCATATAAAATTTCATGGTCATTGCATCATACACCATGCTATCGTAAAATTTCTCAATTACAAGTGCGTTCTGTCTACATAACATACTCATTTTATGGGGATACCAATTTAAAAAACCGAAAGTTATTTATGGAAGTTAATTTTTTTTTTGTACTGCTTTTTTGTTGCATATTAAGATCTCATTTTCTTGGTTAAATTTAAATAAAATTTGCCTTAAATTCTCAATGAAAATTACATAATAAACATATGTTTTTTATAACAGTAATGACCTTTCATATGTGTGTATATATGTATGTATGTATATTCCAGCTGCAATATAATACAAAGAAAAAAATGTATATAAGCTTCAATATAACAATAAAGTTCAAAAAATCAAAATCAAAAAAATGCAAGAAAAAGTTGAACAAAAGGATTGCATTTATATTTTGATTTTATTTGTATGTACAATTACCTATATACGTCTTTGTTTTTGTTGTTTTCGAAATTCTCATAAAATTTAGTAAAAAGATTAAATTTTTGTGATTATTATAACATTTAATATTAATGACTATTATTTAATAATAAAATAAATTTTTTGTTTTTTGATATCACTACACTCGTATTTAATGCCTACAACATCGATGGTGAAGCGCAAAAATAAGCTATAAGTTGCAAGCTTAAAATTAACCAGGGGAGCATTTTGAAAGTTTATAAATTTGTGAAAAAAAAACCTGTTAATTAGAATAACGGTATACGATTGAATTTTTATTCTTGATTTTTTTTTCTAATTAAACTATTTAAATCAGTTTTTGTCGTTAAATAAGATTTTTTAAATTAAATTCGAATTTTTACACAAAAAGTCGTGTACCTAGCATAAACTGGCTAATAGTGTTAAAATTGCTAATATTAGCTGATGTACTTAGTATGTTTGTATTTCACCATTAATGCAGTTTTTATAATAAGCATATCAAGGGCATACTAAACCTTTTTTTGTACTTCGACATTGCATTCAACTTATTTCAACCACACCTATTTCACAAGATGTTTACGTACGGCATAGCGTATTAACACGTGCAGCATTAAAATCTAAACCGTACAAAACGCATTTTCAAAAATTTTTTATTTAGCACATCTGTGCATTCCACCATCGACATAATATTGTAATGTATGTAATATTATATGACAGTGTATATCACTAATAAATAAACGTAGGGAGGGTAACCTTTAACGTAAATATGACGAAATAAAATATAAAATTTTATTAGTATCGGCTTGAAATTGCACGTACATACATACTTATATCTATACTAAAAAAAAAACAACACAATTTTATCCTAAATGAGTATTCAAACTGTTTTATATTCAATAAATATAGAAAAACTGGTTCCAAAAATTCCAAAAAAAAAATTAAAATTCGCGCATTCATTCATTACAATTATTTTTTGCGATCAAATCAGAAAAAAAAAAACAACGCAATGACTTGATATGTACGCGCCACCTACACTTCATAAATTTATTTGGAATATTCATTTTTCATTCATTTTATTCGGAATTCATCTGAACTGCAACTCCTATATAATGTATATATACAAAATGTACAAGAATTCCTGCAGTTAAATTTTTAATATATCGTTTAAATTTTATATTTTATTTTCATATTTTTTATTTTTTACCATATTAAAACTCTTATGGAGATGACATTTTCATATCAATTTAATAACAGTAATAAATTATCTAAGATTATTTATTTAAAAATGTCTTAATGCCCGGTGTTTACACTGATAACATAAAATGAACAAAAATTTAATATTGATTACGATGATTATGACATCTATGATGATTTTAATATGGTAATGATGTCAAAGAAATTTTATTTATTATAATGCGAATTATTTATTATATGATTGTGAATGTAATTTGCAAACACGACTACTAATGTATAGACCGGTTACATATACATACTTTTAAAATAAAATCGATAACTAAATGATCCTATTCAATTAATGGAAATTTACCAATTCAAGTTAATCAATTTTTGCGAGAATCCACCTTAAATATTACCGAGTATATTAAAACTATTAAAATTAAAATATGGAGTAAAATAACTACATTAAAGAACCATGACCTTATTATATATATTTTTTTTTGTATTTTTTATTCTTCTTTTCTTTTTGGGAAATCTTGATTAAAAATACCGTCTGAAAAAAAACAAGAACGAAAAATAAAATTTAAATGAATTCTTCGAAATCATATCGAAATTATTTCTTGTTATTATTATTGAATTGTATTTTCTTTCTTTTTCTTTCTTTAAGATAGCAACACGGGGTCTCCGCTTATTAACACATCCATGTGAAAAGAATAGAACAACTATAAGATGTCTTGAACTATAATAAGGTTTATAATATTTATGAATTACCAAAAATGCTTTCCATAGCCTATACGCATGGAAACTATAGCTGTGTATTAAAGGATGAAATATATATACATATATATAGAGAAATTTCAAAACTGCTTTACCCAGAAAAATTTCCAGGAGCAGAAATAAAAATTAAGCTAAAAAATAATTAAAAATACACTTCAACTATAATTAAATTTTAAAATTGTCGGCAAATCGCCAATGAAAATTATCTGTCAATGTCATTATAATATATCAATTTCTTTTTTGAGAAGGTTTGCGTCTTATTTGAAAACATTGAATTGAAGAAGAAAGGAAGAAAATAAGTAATTCAGGATTGCTCTCCGTCATTCTATGTAGCTCTCATTATTATGTCATTTTCAAAAATTTTTCTTTGCAAGCTATAAACCATTATTATAAAGCAATACACAAATTCTGAATACCTACATATACTAAATTTTCGTAAAATTGGATAATCAACACCGGCATTTAAAAATAATATTTATGATAATAAGACGTGTACGCATATTATACGTGATTTTATCATAATTAATTAAGTTTTATAGCCTATACATAAATATACATCTAGGTACATATATAATTAATTTATGTATTCTTGTATGTGTGAAAAGGAGAACCGTATAAAGAGATTGCATGTTATATATTTCATGACATGCATTTATATTATTGTTGCAATGTCATTATAATGTACAGTAGATGAAAGAAGACTTCATGTTGCACGAAATTATAATTGAACTTTAAAAAAAAAATCAACGCTTTATATTTTTGGTGTCATGTTTTTTTTCTTTTGATTTTTTAAACATCGTTTTTGCTTCTCTTGTAATTTTTTTTTCTTGGTGGATGACTTCTTAATCAGTTATACTTTGTTATAATGAGAATATTGAATTTATGTACTTCATGTAAAAATGAAATTCAAAATTTTGTGAATTAAATATTCGGCTATATATAATTAATAATTTCCAAAATAAAGGTGGAAAAAGGTGTAGGGTATATTAGAATATTTAATGTATAATTTAGTGTTCTCTGTTACAAATTGTTGAACAAACTGATACTTAATAATTAATTGTAATTTAATATGCATGATTTAATACTGATACTTTCATAAATAAATATATGTCATACTATGACAGAAACATGTGCGTGTTCAACATACTTGACATACGTTGCTTTTGACAGAACATAAGGGATTGATTTCGTTATAAAAATATTATGTAATATGTTTATATGTTTAATTATTTCATTTAAATTTCACAATGCTTAATAAATTATATGGCAGAAAAAGTGAATAATGCGTATAATGCGTTTAGATAGGCAGATCTAACCTAAATATATAAATACATAAAATATGAATTTTAAAATAAATGTCAAACCTCTTATGGCTGTAAA